GAACACACTGGGCACGATGAACACCACCATCATCTGAGTAAGGAGCCCAAGGACTCAGCTCTGGTGATACGACCCCCCGGGCCTGAGCACACCTGGCACTCTGCCCCCCAGCCTCCAGTCATCCTGAGTACAGGCCCCTCCTCGCCGGCTCCTACTCCTAACCAGCAAGACAGGATGCTGGCTGTGTGGTCCCTCCAATGACCCGACATCAATCAAAGCATGGGTGGTAGCTGTGTGTCAGTTTGGCTGGGCCTGGTTCTGAGTGGCTGCGTGGCTGGGCCTGGTTCTGAGTGGCTGCGTGGCTGGGCCTGGTTCTGAGTGGCTGCATGGCTGGGCCTGGTTCTGAGTGGCTGCGTGGCTGGGCCTAGTTGAGGGTCTGGGCAGCTGGGTGTCGTGATTCCCCCGATGGGACTGTGATCAGCTCCATGGTGGAACCTGCTGTGAGCCACTGAGTACCTGTCTTCAGTGGGGATGGCCTGTTTCCAGTATACAAGGAGAAGCTTGGAGAAAGGGCTCCAGCTTTTGGCACACCTGGATCCTACACTTGGCCGAGTCTTCATCTCCGTGGCCTGCTGATTGGGGGATTGTTGTTGGACTGAACTAGCGGCCTGCCATGTTGTCTGCTCTTGGGACGGTGCCATTCTACCTGCCACTCTGGGGTTCATCACCCTCAGCAGCCAGCAGCTGCACGAGTCAATGAAAGCCTCCAGCTCTAGTGGGCCAGGAGCAGGAGGCAGAGCTGAAGCCCAAGGTCAAGGGACCTTCACCCAGCCCCTGCAGGCAGCACTTTGAATGGACTCTAGCCTCCTAACCTGTAAGAGAATAAATCCTGTGTGTTGAAGCCACCCACTTGGCCCACGTCTGTTACAGCAGCACTGAAGAGCCACAGCAGCAGGGCACCCACTGGGACACGCACACCGGGGGGGGAAGGGCCAGGAGCCGCCAGGGAAGCAACAGCACAGGCAACCAACACGGAGGCAGCGCAGCAGCAACAAACATGAAATCACAAGCAAGGGTCTTCCAGGTTTTTAACCAAAACTCTGACAGTTTAGTTTAGAAGGCACAGGCCCATCTTAGAAGACATCTAGAAAAGTGGGTATCAACGGTTACAAAAAAAACACAAACAAAAACATAAGCAGGTGCGGCAGGTCACAGGATGACCTCACAAGAGGTCATGCGGGTCCTCTGGTGGCCAGAGGATTCCGCAGCAGTAAGTGCCCACCCCCGGGAGCTGTATCCACATGCAGGACAGGAGGCACCAAGCTGCACGGCTATTAAGACCCATCAGCAAGAAAGAGTCCTTTAAATGCTGAAAGTCAGACTCAATTTAAACTGAACACTTAGAGCTCTTGGTGGACTTGATTCCAGGATAATTCTTAAAAAAAGAAAAAGAAGAAAGCTGTGTGTAAATTCTTCTGAAAACCTCCCAGGCTCATGCAGCCACCACGCACTTCTGGTGGCAAGTTGGGCTAAGCACAAAAAGACGTGTCACTGGCCCTCACCCCACCCTTCACCTCCCCCAGGAGGACTTCACCATGAGCAATTTAGAGCCACGGCTGGGGAAGTCCCACCTCCAACCTCCAACACCCACCAAGCCCGACTGACTGCTGTTGACCCACAGCACCCCTAGAGGACAGAGTGGAACTGCCCACAGGGTTTCCAAGGCTCAGTCTTCACAGAAGCTGACTGACTCATCTTTCTTCCATGGAGTGCTGGTGAGTTTCAGCTGCCAGCCTTTTGGTTAGCAGCCCAGTGCTTTAACCACTGCACCACCGAGCTCCTTCCCTCCACCCAAAACAATGGTACATCCAGCATCAACAGTGTTTTCCAACATCGCCACCTCTAATGTGAAAGGGGGAAAATAACCAAGCCCCCTGGGTCGAACATGCTTCTCTGTCACAGACCCCTCGGGCTGGACTCAGCATCTATGCCAGACACTTTCCGTGCCATGGGTTTGAAAATAACACCAACCTTTTCACAAATCATAAAATCAGAGGAAAAGACCCCAGCTGTCACACAGGACCGCGGAGCTCACTTTCTGCCGGCCCTGTCAAATCAAGCCGGAAAGTAAGCAGAGATGGCCGCACCCTCGTGGCCGAGGCAAAGGCCTTCACCCCGTGCAGCCGGGCAGTGTAAAGGCTGGGTGGTGGGTGATGGCCAGGCTTCAGGCTGGATGACAGCGGCTCGTCCCAGCCCATGAGAGAGCGCAGCGGTGAGTGGTGTCCCAGACACTTACAGACAGCAACTTCCACGTGATGGGGCGGACAGGCTTGGGGATCCCGGACCAGCTCAGCCTCCGTAATTCCTCTGTTGAGATAAAAGCGACAAAGAAAGCAGGGGTTAGCACCAGTGTGCAGCCGTCCCCCAGCGCCCCCAGAGGGAAATGAAGAACCGAACTAGCAGCCATGTGATGAGAGCTCCCCGCAGTCTGCAGTGCTGCAGGGTCCCCTGTGGTGACAGGCTCAACTGGGACCCCGAGTGTGGGTGGGGTCGCAGCCCTGTACCTGTCACCAGGATCCTGTGCCCACAGAGCAGCTCCCCCTGGTTATACCAGCGAGGGTGGGCCAGAGTGGGGTGGGTCCTAAACCCAATCCCTTCCAAGAATGCCTTCTAAAGAGGGCAGACCCGAGGCAGATGTCACACTCCCACACAGAGACACGCACGGCAAGAGGGATACCACGGGAGGACCTGTCCACAAGCCAAGGAGCAGCACGTTCACTGGCAGACACCAGACACCGGGACAGGCCCCAGGGAACCGATGCGGCTGGGACCCCGATGTAGACTTCTGGTCTCCAGAATGCTGAGACAGTAAACGTCCATCCTTCAGAGCTGCTGCACACCGGGCCGTTTCCTACAGCAGCACCGAGACACTGTCTGTTTACACCGAAATCTCGGCTCGGGCATGCCTGCGAAGCGCACCGCGGGCAGGTCAGCCCCGTCCCACTGCCATCCTGCCAGCAGTGGATGCCCAGAGGACGCGAGCTTCCTTCTCTCTCTCTCTCTTTCTCTCTCTTTCTCTCTCTCTCTCTCTGCCCCTCCCTAGCACCTCTTCCCCAACTTCATCACCTACTGACGCTCTTTCTGCCCTTCCTTCCTTCTCCATCCCATCTCACTCTCACCAGCTAACCTTTAAATACCTAGGCATGTGGCTTTTCTAGTATTTGTTTCTCAAATTATCTTAAGGAGATCAGCTTATCGGTATAGAGCATTCATTAAAAATTTGCCCACAGTAGAAATACCTAAAGAGCCCTGGTGGCGCAGTGGTGAAGCACCCAGCTGCGCACCAAAAGCTCGGCGGTTCGAATCCACCAGCTGTTCCGCAGGAGAAAGATGAGGCAGTCTGCTTCCACAAGGATCCCAGCCTTGGAGACCCTGTGGGGCAGTTCCACTCTGTCCTCCAGAGTAGGTGTGTGTCAGAGTCAACTTGACAGCAACAGGCTTACACAGCAGGACAATGACGTCCTCCAGGTGGATTAACGCCTGTCAGTCGGGCCTTTACAGAAGCACCCAGGAGAGGGTGGGCCACAGGCAGCCCAGTGGGAACACAGCCCAAAAGATCCTCTGGGCCAGAGAGCACACAGCGGGGGACCTAGGGCAGGGAAAACCAAAACCAAACCATACCCACTGCCATGGAGTCCATTCCGACCCACAGCGCCCCCATAGGACAGAGTGGAACTGCACCACAGGGGCTCTAAGGCTGTCATTCTTCACAGAAGCAAAGCCCAAAGCACACCCACTGCCTGGAGTCCATTCTGACCCACAGCGCCCCTAGAGGACAGAGGGGAACTGCCCACAGGGTCTCTAAGGTTGTCAAGCTTTACAGACACAGATTGACTCATCTTTCTCCCGTGGAACAGGCTGGTGGGTTTGAACAGCCAACCTTTTGGCTAGCAGCCATATGTTTTAACCACTATGCCACCAGACAGAGCTCCTTAGGGGCAGGGTAAGGGACTCTGAATTCCGTCTGACCCTCTATTGTCCTCGTACATGCACTAAAGGCTAGAGAACTCATTTCAACGGCAAGTTTATCAACACTCACTGTTTCTTTGAAACAGAAGCAGCTGTCTCTTTCCTCTAAGTTAGGAATCTACCATTAGACTCGTCTCCTAATCATAAGGAGCTAATGATTAATACCAGGAATAAAAGAAATGATTAAAGAGAAGCACCTGTTAATATAATCAACAAAATACAAAGTCTTGGCATCTTATCTTTTTCCAATTACTAAAGTCTAAGTAAAATGAGGACAGAATAATTGGCGATACAACCGGCAATAACTTGCATTTTACAGCAATCTGAGAAAGTATCAAATTTTCCCCTGGTCCTAAAGACATTATGGAAAGCAGAAGCCTAACATCTGAACACCAATCACGTGCTGTGGATGAGTACTGTTTCCAGTGTCCCCACTGCAAGCACGTCTTCTGGATCACAGCTTGTGAAGACTGTGAGTGAAGCCTCAGCTGGCAGTGTTCTGTGGGAACTCACAGAAGTGGCATCCTGACTACCATGTGACACAAAGTGCCACTCTGCTTAAGCTGCAGTGTTTTGGAAGAACTTCCATGTACAGCAGTCCCTGGTCACAAAAGCTTCAGTTGCAAAGTGTGTCTGTGAGTCGAGTTTCTGGCTCAATCAGATCAGGTGCAGAGGGTGGTGTGATAGGTCACTGTCATATGGCTTTTCTTACCTTGGAACATTCACATCAAATGACGGGGTGAGACTACGCAAATAAGGTACCTAAGGCCCACCAAACATGATCTTGAATATATCCCTCCTGAATTTAGACACCATCTAAAGAATAGATTTGATGCACTGAACACCAACGACCAAAACCCAGAAGAACTGTGGGAGGATATCAAGAACATTATCCATGAAGAAAGTAAGAGATCACTAAAAAGACGAGAAAGGAAGGGAAGATCAAAATGGATGACAGAAGAGACTCTGAAACTTGCCCTTGAGCAGAGAACAGCTAAAGCAAATGGAAGAAATGAAAAGGTAAAAG